TGGCATCTGGCACGTGCTGCCATCTGCATATCAATGCCTCTGTTTTTTGTTCTGGTGGTGCTTCCGTCTCTTCAGAGCCTGTTCACAGACCATAAACTCTTCAGCTACCAGCCCACGTCATTGTTTTCCCTTTGGAATGCCGTTTAGCTTTCGCTCCCTCGAGTATAAACATGTTGTTTTCTTTGTCTTCACAAAGCCTGAAAAGGTGGAGGCAGTACGAACCAAAAGGAAATATGAAAAGAAACCCAAAATCTCCCCCCTGTCAGCGCCTCAACATTCAGGACCCTCTGTGTTCAATCCTAAGGACCTCAACCAGTATGATTTTCCCAGCTCTGATGAAGAGCCATTCTCACAGGTATTTCATTTCACACCATAATTACTGTTAGCCCGTGGTTCCATTGTGATGCTAATATTAAAATGAAATCCTTCGTCTCCTTGATATTATTTTAGTAAGATCTTCGTGTGTTAGGTACGAAGTGGTATCAGTTAAAACCTTGTCTCTTGATTTATATTTGTTTTCCAGATCCATTCATGTTCCTCAGAGGCAGAAGAGGAGAATGACCCAGATGGCTGCTATGCATTCAGGAGAAAGGCTGGTTGTCAATATTACGCTGTGAGTGCCCTCCTGTGACTCCTGTGTTTCTATTCCTGGAGCTAAGAGCAGGCTGGACAGTCTCCCTCACTCCGCCAGACAAAACAATGCAAAGATAAACTTACTGTTGTTCTGTTCTTTTACAAATGGATTCGTTTGTCTTCCTCTTCCTTCAGCCTCGTCCAGACAAGAGTGGCAGCTGGCCGTGGGCGAGCCCGTCAGAGGGTGGGCTCGGAGACCCACACTACCGCTACTGCCCGACCTCAATCAACACGCCGCCGTGCTGCATAGGCCTGGCTCGACGTCGTCTGGGCAGGGGGGGCAGGTGAGCTTGGGCTTACCGTGTTGATTTTCACACAAACAGAAACATGTTAGTAGCGTGCCGTTTCCAACAAAATGGTTGGATGAAAAGCTGCACATTAGTATTTGAAAAAGCTGAAACGTGAAATATCTGCAGGGATGCTGCCAGTTTTTGTAGTGAGCAGGATAAATTGAGCCAACACTTGGCTGTAACTGCTGCGGTTACTTAGCGTACCAGCTCCTTGGCAGGCTCCCAGCAGCCATTTGGCAGGCGCACTCTACTATAAATATCAGGCTGGCTGGTAAATGATGAAGATGACAATCCTGTTGTGGGAAATTACCTGCCTCTGGCCTGAAGACGATCAAAAACATGGCTTCTGCTTAGTTTGAGCAGTGATGTGTCCTGCAGCTTCGGTTCATGGATTTTCATTCATTCATCGTTGAGCAGGAAGAATTTAGTTTTGTTATTGTTCCAGTGCTTTTCCAGTGCCCGCTGTTGTAAATGTAATCCTCCAGGTTTCACAGACACATTGGAGACACTCGGTGTTCAGTTTGTGTTCACAGCAACCTTTCATCAGACGCCCCGAGGGGGTTGAATGATTGCACGGTCTGAATGAAAGTGTCGTCCTCAGTACGTGATGGGTGCACATGATTGAACGACTTTGTTCTGTTGGCATTACACTTCTAATCAGACAGTCAGTTCATTGATCTGTTTGTATCAGACTTAAATGTCCCAATACATTTTTATAGATTTTCTACAAGTGTGTGGGGTTTGTGGTTCCACTGTGACATTTAATTTTTATTGCATGTAAAAGGACTTGTATATGGTTTTATTATACATCTGTTTCTATGCAAATGGACCAGCAATGAGTCGTTGAGTTCTAAATGTCAATCCTTTATCAGTGTGACATTGTTGTAGAATAAGTAGTTTGTTGCATCGTGTTTTGTTGAGAGAATAAAATGTTTCTCGGGGTCCACATTGTTTGTACACAGATTGCCAGGAATACCCAGTGAAGTTGTACTTCTCTATTATGAGCAGTTGTGTGTTTTTGTCATCAGACGTCATGCGGTGTTGTTTTTCAGCAGTTCTCTGATTTTGTTTTTAGGATCTTGTTGGACAGAGCGCACATGGCTGAAGACCTGACCCAGAGCCTGGACTCTGACCCAGAACTGCACGCCTCACCACTTCTAAGCTCTTCGCTCCACAACGCCAGTACCTCAGAAAACAATACCTCGGACTCTACCAGCGCCGCTAACTTTTCCTCATCTTCATCACCCCTGTCATCTTCTACAGCAGTGGACCTCAGTCACATTTTTTTGAACATTAAATCATGCCGCTGGAGGCATTTCAGACCGCGAACACTATCCCATCACTTTTTAGGTGAAGGGGACTTGTCTCGTAGAGGATTTAGGGATTTTAACCAGACTGTGTTGGGACTAACTCGGATCCTGTCTGCTGGAACCAATTCCCAGAACCGAGCGGGCCCTGCCACCACTCCTCTCAATGGTGAGTTTTTTGTTCCCTTTGTTGAGCTGCTTGTGCGATCAGACTGCAGCAGTTCTTGCTTAATTACGCCGTAAGAAAAGGGTTCTTGACCTCACAAGAACCTGGTTCAATACGGTTGAAAAGACGTCATTTTCAAAGGTTATTGATTGTGTGCCTTCTGGTATAATTCCAAAGATGCATCCAGTCTGAGCTTCATCGTGACATGATTTGCACACAGTTCATTTTGAAGCTTGTTGTGAATCTCCTCGTTGGTCTTCCAGCTGGCTGGGGACCTGTTTGGACTGTGGCCTTGACTTATTGCTTCTTCTAAATGTAGAACTTGGTCATTTGTATTCTAGTTGTTAGGGGTTTAGATAATTTACTTACCAGTGTTTACATGATTTCCTTTGTAGTTTTGACAGATTTACTCTTTGAGATTCACCATCTTATCAGTTTGAACAAATATCTTAACAGTATTGATCTAGTGTAGTATAATAATATATTAAGGGGGATAATGGCGTCCTAAGTATTGGGATGAGTAAAGTGTTAGCCTCTCCAAGTGTCTTTAAGAATCTGTTGGACTCCTGGCAGGGACCAATGCAGACATGTTCCTGTTTTTAGTTTCTGCATTCACCTTAGAATCTACCTGTTTTTATGTTGCCTTTTTCTTTTAGCCATCCTGTTTGTTTTAAAAAAAAAAACTAGTATGACTTTTTATAACTGTTTGTTGTTGCTGTTGTCACTTGTTGTCCTCACTCTTTGTTAAATCAGGTCTCTCTGTAAATGAGTCCCCGAGGCTCAATGGGATTACCTGTCTAAATAAAGGTTGAATGAATGAGTTAAGTTAAAGCCAAAGGCTGGTGGCAGAGTGATACAGCAGCATTGCCAGTCTCGCTACTTGTCAGTGGTGGGGGTAAGCGTTAAACAAGCACTATGATACCAATGCTATGTCTGCACTGAGCTGCTACAATCTGCTCCCCGTCCGGAGCGGGGTGTTCGGTTCTGTTGACGGCTGGGTCGCCCTCCTTGGATAATGGTGGGGGGAACTTCTGTCATTTTATTGCCTTAGTGGCTGCCATTGCTCAAGCTTGTTAAGCTCATAAACAGTCTGGTGTGTGACTGGTTGGACATTTTGTAGAGGTGGACATGCGCAGTTTTCATTTATTTGTCCGACAACTTATTTTCGTCTTTGACAACCAGCTCTTGTTCCGAGGTTTTCCAGTGGACAACCAAGTGAAATGGACATGGATTAAAGTTCTCCTTCGCCACAAAGGAGTTCCTTTATCTTTAAAAGTGAACGGGAAAAAACGTGTTTTTGTGTCTTTTTAAAGCCACCAATGACGCGCTTCAGATATGATGTTGACTCTCAGAAAAAGATGTGGAGTGGATTATTTATCATAACTCTGGTTGTACTTGGGCCTATCGCCACAGTTTAAAAACTGTTGTGTACTTCTTCATTCAACCTGTATTTAGACAGGTTAATCCCATTGAGCCTCCAGGACTCATTTACAAGAGAGGCTGTGACTATCACATGCCGGCGCGTGGATTGACACGGGGGGGGGGGGGGGGGGGG